AAGCATTCACTGCCCAGGGCTGCAGCACCACATCCAGCCTGGACCTGGCTGTCGATGCAGGAGCTGTGCATGCGGGCAGTGGGCCCAGCCCTCATACATCAGCATCTCCTCTCCCTGCAGAGCTGCCTCATCCTTGCATAAGGCACAGCCTGGCCTAAGGCGGGATGGACATGGTGCGTGGACAGACAGACAGGGTCGGTTCCCTGCCTGAAAAGGGAGGGAGCGGAGCAGCAGTGGCCTTGGTTGTGTTTTTGATCAATGTGGTTATTTTAAGATTTTCTTGTCCCTAAAAAGAATACATCGCCCTTTACTATATGTCAACAGTCTGCGGCTTAGCTCTGTCATCTCTGCTGAGCTGTGTGCAGGTTCCATCCATGTGAATCATATAGTGCACTTATAAAAAATAAAGAAAAAGGAGGGCTGATTTATGCTTATTTATTCTGTGCAACTACAAACATCTGTGTAGAAAACAAATATGGACACTGAAGAAAAAAAACACGCTTCACCCTTTTTCCTCCCCCACCCCTTATTTTTAAACCTTACAAAAGCAGGCCATGTGGTCAACATCTGGAATGTATGTGGGAATTATTCAAATGAGCCTTGGTGGTAGTTGCCTTGTGCCAGGCTCCTGAAGTGGCGAGGAAGAGTGACAGCCAGCCACGGCTGCATACACGCCGCGTTCCTGCGCACCACATCCACATTCCTGCTGCCTTCCCGTTGCTGGGCTTGCCACTGCTGTCCTGCAGGCCTAGCAGGGCGGCTCCCCTGTGTCATGGCAAGTGTGCTCTGCGTGCCTCCCATCACGTCTCGTCAAGGATCTCCATGCTTGATGCTAGCCCAGCTCTGAGAGGCAGGGAGCAGCTGTGGATTCTGGTTTGGGCTTGGAAGGGAGGCACTGAAGGACCTGAGCAACGTGGCACTTGCAGGGCAAAGCGAGGAGTGGGCTCAGCCCTCACCTGCAGCCCCCCACAGAGCCCAGGAGAAAACCCCCAGTGCTGGGCAGAGCAGAAGCCCTTGTGGAGCTCTCACCGTGCTGCTTTCAGGGTAAGCAAAAAAATACTGTTCAGAGCCCAAGGTGGCAGGAGCAGCACAAGGAAGGAAGGCTGCCTGCTGCAGAAGCACGAGCCTGGTGCCAGGGCAACCATGGCACTGAAGGTTAGCAGCTGTCAGATCACAGAATCACAGACTGTCAGGGACTGGAAGGGACCACAAGATGAAGCTTGTGGCCATAGAGCTGGGCCTGCTGGTTCCTCCTCGGGCTCAGCTTGCCAGGAGTGCAGGTCCCAGGCTCCGCTTGGCCTTTCAGCTGCACAGGGAGCTTGTACCACCCAACCACGCCATGCTTAGCTTCTGCAGTCACAGGCCCAGCCACACAGATCATTACAAGAATTTGGGAATCTGTGTGAAGAATTAAGAGCTACCAAACCAAGAGCTTACAAAATTTAAGTATAAAGCCTACACAATGAAGCTAGGCTTGTATAAAGGCAGAACAAAAATGTTTTTGGGGGGAGGAGGAAGGATGTATTTATTTGCTGCTTTCTAGCCTTTAGCTGGAAGTCCTTCAAGAGACTGCATCTGGATGGGAGCTGCATTTAGTGTCAGGCAGCGTTTTATTTTGTTTGTTTTATTTTTCCCTATTACTATCAGCTAAGACTCAGTGTCCATACTTCGGGAAGACTTCAGCAAAATCTTCCTGCCTCCTTCGCTAATACTAGCAGAATCCCCCCAAACGCAATGAACCTAGGCAGCCTTTCTCTCCTGACCTGACAAACCGTGTTTCTTTTCTTCCCAAGTAGCCAGGCATCTTCTAATTAGAGGCTGGCTGCTGAGCGCCTTACTCACAGCAGCGGCTCATTACATCAGGCAGCCCGCTTGCGTTCGTGCTAGGCTAATGCTCCCCTATTAACTTCAATGGGAACAGGCGTGCGTGAGTAACCTACCGTCGTGAGCTAAAGCTTGGCGAGGCAGCCCGAAACACGCAGCAATTTGTTCTGGGAGCCCAGCAGCCACCAAAGCACCCAGGTTGTCGTCAGCAGAGGCTGGCGAGGCGGAAAGCCACGCGTTGGGCTCGCTGCAAGGCGCGGGACAGCCGAGGTGCGCTCGAGGAGACGCGCTCCCAGCCTCGCCGGCGCGCCGGCCTTGGCTCGCAAACACACGCGCAGTTTTGGGGGAAGCAAAAAAAAAAAAAAAAAAAAAAATCCCGTACAGAATGAGGTTTTTCAGCAGCTCTATTGGCTCCTCTCCTCGGAGCAGTTTGAAACTTTTTGACAGCTTAGCAGCTCAGCGGCGCGACGCGCGCCCCGCCGGCCGGGCAGCTGCGGGAGCCCTCGGTGCCACCCGGGGGAGCCCCCGGCACAGGGGGGCGGCACCGCCACAGCCCCCGGGGACGCGGGGACACGGGGATGGGGAGGGGGGGACGGGGACAAGGGCGACCCCCGCCCGCCGGTGCCCTCTAGCGGCCCCGCCGCCGTGCCGAGGCGAGGAGCCGCAGCTTGCCGTGGTGCAAGGCAGCGTTCTGCCCTCGGCTTCATTGCTAATTGACTCCAGCTGAGGATCTGGCCCGGCTTGTTCAAACAAATTAAAAACGATGCAAATCAGCCGCAAGTACTTGATGATTTCACTGTGCTAAGGGGAATACAACTATTTGGCACTGGGTGTGCTGTCAATGGGAGGATTGCTAAGTATTTTGCAAGCGCAGCACTTTCGAAGTGCAAAATGGCTCGCTTATGTTAGGGCTGATCAAAAATATTTTGTCAAAACTGTTTTTTCAGTGGAAAATTGAATTTCCAAAAAAAAAGCCATCTTTTCACAATGGAGATCTGCCTTTGCAGGAGAAATATATTTCCCTCAAGAACAATTCAGCCAAAAATTTAAGCTTCTGTTTACAAACTCTCAGTTTCTGGTGACACTATTCATTTTTGGGGTTTTAAAATAAAAAGTTTACATTTCTGCAGCAGAGGAGGAATCATTTTCCATACAGGTCTATGAATTAACTCTCATAAAACCCCAGCCAGCAACACAAGCATAGTTTTCTTTTTATGGATGAGAAGCTGAGAAGCAAAGAGGTTAAGTGATTTGGCTCCAATCCCTACAGGCACCATTAAAAGCTCCTGGCTCCCAGTTCTGTGCTCAGAATGTTAGATCGCATGACATATCTTTGTGAGGCAGTTAAATGCTTTCAGACTCCCTTGGATTTCAACGGGAGAATCAGTCAGTCTACCGAGAACAAAAAGAATGATAGAGTAGCCTTGCCTCAACTCACACAGCGAGTCCTCAGCGGAGTCGGAGCCGGGACTTCTGGCTCTCGGTTCTTTGCAGCACACACCACACAACCTTGCTGGCTGTACAGACAGCTGACGCTTTCTTCTGGCCCACGCAGCCAAATCTGACACCTGAAGATCAAACAGCAGTGTCTTTCCCAGGGACAGTGATATCTGCCCTGGACTGGAGATCTGGTTGATACCTGTAACTGAACAATTGAACCGCTACTCTTACTGTGTGGTTAATAATACAGCATTACGTTATCAGCCCCAAAATGATGATGGTCGGCCACACAGAGGAGGTCAGAAGACCGAGCAGGCTGATGAGATAACGGAGGGTGGCAGTTGTCTCTTGGTTAGAGCACATGCTTAGCAGCTGAAGCTGTTATATTTCCAGTCTGGGCACTTTCAGAGTGTCTAAAAATGGTTAAATCATAACATTTCATTATACCTCAGCTTTCATATATGCTTGTAAAGTGTTTCCAAACCTTGTGAGAGAGCAAGGTCTTACTCATATGTATGTTATTTAGCTGGGCAGAAGCTTAGCTTGACTCTCCATGTACTCTCCAACATTACAACAGGCAAGATCATGTCCCACCTGTGCTCTAATCTTGCTTGTCTACCTCCAGAGGCTGACACCTAGGGATAGATTCCCACTGTAGTTAGGCATCATAATTTAAAGTGCCCTGCTTTATAGTGATTTCCATGATTTTCATAAACATGTGTCTCCTCTGAGATATCTGGGAAACTGCGTCACTTTGAACATTGCCCGAATATCTCACTGTGAGCAGCCAAGATGGAAAATGTTACTTACGTTCTTTTGTATGTTGGAAAACACAACATTTGTTCCTGGGTGGTACAGATCTCTTCAGTCAACCAGTTGTGTATGCTAATATTTCTACATTGAGGCTTTATTATCTTTATTCCCACTAGCTTTGCTTAGGACATGCCATCCCTCCCCTTGATGTTTTTCTTTTATTCTGGACCAGAATCCTGATGACCAGGTTGAGGAACCAGACAAAACTGGATTGTATTACAGCTGAAATACCAGGCTGTAGTTCTAATAAATCTTCCCACTTTGCCAATCAAATTATTTGTAAACTATCTAGAGCAAGGGGATTTTTCTACAAATAGCTGGTGTAATGATCTTGCTAACAAACGATTATCATGTTTGGGAGAATTCCCGGTTTGGCAGGAGCTGCACAGGAAGCCCTGTATCCAGTTCAGAGGCCAGTGATCGGAGCATACCTTTTATCATAGGAGCCAGTATAAAGAAGCCAGGATTTTTTTTCCTTTTCCATTTCAACAAAGGATTGTTTAAAAAAGTACAGTTCCAAAAAAAAAATGTGATTTATTTTTAATTTCAGTATAAATAGGTTAAAGAGTGCTTACATCCTAACCACCAGTACTTTTTTATGAAAATGAGATTTTTTTTCCTGTTCCTTAGCCAGTTGTTAACTTGATAAATATCCCTGAATATTCCAAATTTTAGAGGAAAAAAGAAGATATACTATTTTTTCCCACACAAAATGGATAAGCCTATTTTTCATTGAGCTCTGATTTATATAATTCCCCCAACAAAAACATCAAATGTTTCACTGCATCAAGCCCCAAAGGACACCAGCAAGCCTGCATTGTCCCAACCAGCCTCACCTGGGACACTCCCCCCTCCACCCACAGCTCCAGGAGCTCCATTTAAGCCCAGTTCTGGGCTTTTTTCTCCTTGTTTGAGCTACCCTGTAGTGCTCCTTGGCTGTAGCTCTATCACAGCTCTGCTTGGCTGTTTGATGTTCAAACTTGTGATCTAAATGAATTGGAGTTTTCTTTTTAAGAGCTGTACAGGGGGCTATGGCTTATGCAGTAGCTTGATAGGAAAGCTGGAAATAGGACTTCATCTCCGGAACTGATCGTCTACCTACTCAAACAGGTTAAAAGCTTTTTTAATGTACATTTACCTCATTTGGAAAAGGGAGCCTCAGATTCTTTTCATTTAATTCAAACAGTTTTTACGTCATTTCTTTGTTGTTAATGGTTAGCTAGACAAATCACCTGCTTCTAATTCCTGGTATTTCTTGCTATTTTAAATCATGGCCTTCCTGTTGGTACCACTTACTTTGCCCCTTACATCAAAGATTTGTATTATTTATTGCTCTCAAGTTACCTTATCAAGTCAATTCATGTTTGGTCATTTCTAATTAGAAATAGTCTACTTCGCAACTCAGGCAGCAAGCAAGCGAGCAACTTGGTTGGGACACACCTGTAGATCAATCTGGGATTGGTATCTCCCCATCCAAATAGTATAGCTTAGGCAATGTAATATGTATACATGGCTTAATAATTCCTGGAAAAGCCCATGTCATTGCTTTCATCAAGTCTTAAATAAAATAATCAGTCATGATATTTTCTGCCTGGATCAAAGGCAGCACAGGCCCATTGAGTTCGAGCACCGTGAAGTGGTTAGTTAATAGTCACTGGGGAAGGAACACAGCACGCAGCGGTGTCCATCACTGAAATACTCTGCAAACATCAGCTCTCATAATCCCTCTTTCAAAGGCACATGGAGGCAGAATTAGTTTAAAATAGACTATGTTGTGACTTGTCCAAGCGCCTGTATTAAGGCAGCAGCAGATGCAATGTGAGACTGGACTTTCAGTCCTGTTACTATGCCCCCAGTTCCCCCTCTTTGCTGTGGTGGCCTTGTCCTGTGCTTCTTGTCCTGGCCAGGTGCTGCCAGCTTGAGCTGGTAACCTCTGCACTGGGAGGAGCAGGGGAAGGCTAGATACTGGGGAGACCTAAACCTAAATTGTGAGCTGGTAACCTTGACTCTCCATCTTTGCAGTATGATTTCTTCTATCCCTGCAAAAAGGGGCCTTGCCATCTCACAGCAACACAAGTGCAAGAAGCACAATAACTCGCTGCATTTGAAGAAGACAGTGAAGAGCACTGCCTCCAGACCTTATTGCAAAAATTGTGGGAGATTGGAGCTCTAGAGCCAGGGAAAGGCGATTCATCTATGTTTTCAATTTTTTTTTTAATTTTTTTTTTGAGTATTCTTTATCAGAATTTTATTGCTCTCATCCAGAAAGTGTGTAAGTGGCCAGAGCTTTTTCTGGTGAAACCTACTGGAGTTCCCTAATAGGAGCGGCATCGTGTTGATCCGCACTGCTTGAGCAGTGGCTCTCGAGAATTCAGTGAAGTTCCACTTGCATCAAAAGCAGTTTTGGTCCAAGATGTACTCAGATTTGTGTTTAAGGTGCCTGGCAACGTTGTAGTGAGCAGCTTTATAAATAACTCTGTATTATTATCTTTATGCCTTAGCAGTAGTATTGTTGTTTTTATGGTACTGTAATGTTTATTATGGCTATTTTATGGTGTAATTTGATTATTGTGTTACCCTAATGTCACGTAGAAAAGGGGAGGGCATTCCTGTCATACTTCTGAACACTAACCCTTCTGTTTCCATCTGAGGAACCCAAAGCCCTTTGGCGATCATTAATTGTCCCACACCATATAAGTAAACTCACGCACAGAGGACTTAAATGATTCCCCCTAGCCCACACAACAAGTCAGTGGCAAAGCTGAGAGTCAGACCTCAAGAGTGCTGACTCCCTGACGTCTGCATTAACCACTAGAAAACATTCCCGTCACAGTAACAGCAGGTATAATAGAAAGGAAGATTGCCGCTTTGGAGTTTTTTAGGTCAGTTGTAATGAGAACACTCAATGTTTTATAAACCCTTTAGGTTTCCTGTTTAGGGCTTGATCAAACCATAAACTGCTCGTTTAAGTAAGCTCCAAAAACAAAATGTACTAGAAAGCTGAGGAGCAGAGAGACAACATCCAACAGCAAACTTATGTTTATTGCTCATTTGCTTTCCTTGCTGGGATGATGCCGTGTACTTAGATTAAATATGCAGAGCCAAATTTATCCCTAGGGTGTAATTTTTTTGGACTCTGAATGACACCAGGGTGAATTTGGCACATTTACACTCAAAATTAATATGGGTTTTACAAATATTTGGAACGGTGTCAAAATGTTGTGGGTTAAATTCTGTTCTCAGTTCCACCAGCGCTAACCCAGGTTAACTCCGTTCTGATCTCGCACTGGATTTACAGCAACGTAATTCTGCTGGGCCGGCGTTCAGCTCGTGTGAATTAGTTTATCTGCACTGGAATGCAAGCAGCTCAGCTGCTTTACACCAGCTAAGAATCTGACCCATATTTAGATAGAATTACTCCTGAAATACACAATGGCAAACGTGATGTGAATTGGGTCTGCTGTGGCCCTGATTTGCACTGAGGAAGTGCAGCCGAAGCTGTTCTGTGGCTCTGCTGCGCAGTGACGCAAGCTGGTGTCACAAACCTGAACCTGACCCCCTTCAGCCTTCTGATGCTTTATAAGTTTTAAAATAACGCTGCAGTAAGTGCTACACATGCTGCGTGCGTGTAAATCATCCCAAACGGCTGCAAATCATCGTCCGCTCTCTTGTTTCAAAGCAGAGATTGGGAAGTGCTTGGTGATATTTGGGTTCAGTTCAGATATTCCAAAGCTTGGATGGATGGATTGTTTTGATTCTTTCTTTGAACTCCTTTCCCACCCCTGCTAAAAGAAACAGACAGATCTACTCAGTTAAGCGACAGACAAGTTGGAGACAATGCGCCACTGCCCTCCCCAGTACCACCCCCCACATGCCAAATTTGCAGACATCTGCTAGCTGGAGCACAACTCTGCGGTAATAAAGAAGTGCTGGTATTCATGTGATGTACTGCCTTTAGCATTCACAAATGACTGAAATTAACCTCTGTTCTATGGGCCTTAACTTGGTTTACGACTGGGGGTCTTTTGTTTTATACCACTATACAGAGGTGCCTTTGCCATGCTAAAGATTTAACTAAATTATAATGAATGATCCTCACCAGCACTGTGCCCCTAATTAGAACAAGTCGCACAGACATATTGTCTCCTTGATTTCCTCTGTTACATTTCTCTCACTCTCTTTCTCTGCCTGAGACACATGGGTCCCATTAAACATTTTAGCATTTAATGTGGTTCCCTTAAATGACTTCTCAAGTTTTCAAGTTCCATTTAGAATTGTATGTTACTCTCCTGACTGTGGTTTTGATTGTTATGTTTCATGCGTTCAGCCAAAGCAATTGCTCTTCTTCCCCCTCTAGTGGGGAGTGCCTTAGCTCCCTGTGAGCTTGTGTGAGTACAGCATGGTGTCTACCTATACGTTTTGTAGACATTCACACAAATCCTTACATTTGTATATGAAATCGGGAGATGGGGAAATAGCTTCTTATGACTGATTTATGCAGTCAAGGTTAAGTGCGGTGTTTCTTCAGCACAGTACAGTTGTCTGTTAAAGAAAGCATCTGTTAAGATACAGTTTATTATCGGTATATTTCCATCAAGAGGTCTTTAAGTGTTTCTGTAATACACAAAGCTTATTAATCTTTAGATATTTCCAGCCTAAATAGAAATGATTGACAAAAAGCTTTTGTAGCGTCTGGTTATATGTATGATATCTATTATCCCCATTACATATACCTACTGTACAGATAGAGTGCTGAAGGACAGAGATTTTGTTGTTGATCACATTGTAATGCACTTCCTCAGGAACCACTGCAATGAGAATACCAAATTGTCCATCGGTTTCTGCCCCAGCTTTCCAAGAGTATCAAGTCAAGTTCAAGGTCTGGACCCTAATCCTCAAGGTATTTTGTGGCCTGGGCCCAAGGTGTCTCATAAGCTTGTCTCAAAGCTTGTCTATACCACTGTAGTTATCCCATTTCAGATCTGGCTGGATAACTTCTGGAATAAGAATGCCTTGTTTCCCCCACTCTTTCCCATTTAGTATATGCTCTTTTGAAAATGGTATGCACCTATTTAACAGAAAAGGCGTTCTTATTCCAAAATAAGCACCTCTTATAAATAGTGTCATAATAATAATGATAAAATAACTTCAATATAATTTTAAAGTTAAATTCTCTTTAGGGAAAAAACCTTTCCATCATCATGAAGGAAATCTGTTACAAAAGTGAACTGTAAACCTGGATTTCCTGGCTCCTAGTTACTGAAGTGGCATCATTCTGAGGACATGCGTCTTTAAAGCTGTTTACTTTCTCAGTATCAGATTGACACCGGTCACTAAAATACTGGTAAGGCTGGGAATCCAGAAGCTTGTTCTTTCCTGTTAAAGGGATTCATATCCTGGTTCTGAGACCACTGCCACAGTATTTTAACGGTGGATTTTGGCATGCCATCACAAAAACATAAGAAATTATTTCGGTGACAATATGTTGGCTTCTTAGATCCCTCAGACATGAAATCGAGATTTCATTATGGCGACTTACCAACATTATTTGTTCTTTAGATAATTCTTAAAAGTTTCCGTGATGTATTGGCTTCCAGGTTTAAGCCACAAGAAGCTTGAAATTTATCTCTGGAGCTGAGATTTAGGTTTCATTAACAGTTAAGCCTTCGTCTGGAGTGCTGAAGTGTTCTGCAATGGGTAACTCAGCTTGTTAGTAACATTAGCAGATTTGTGAGTCCTCAAATGCGTCTATGGATAATTGTTTCAACCTTGTGTTCTTTATTATAATCCGCTGTCTGATAATGGGCTTCAGGGTAGATAAGAGAAGGAAATGTGCCAGTAGGATTTCATTCAATCTTGTGCATTCTACCCGCAGCTGCTGTTTCCTCTAAGGTGATGGCTGACTTGGCATCTCTTGCTTTAAAGCAGAGAAAGCCACGATTGATGGCAGGCCATTCTAATGCCTCCTTACCAGCCATTCATGGAGACTTTGAGATTACTGTAAAGAGATATCACCGGTCTAGGAGCTGCTTTCTGGAATCATTCTTCTTGCAATAGTGCAAATGGACAGCTTTTGTTTCTATCGCAGCAGCAATCACTGTTTAAATTAGAGAGCTCTTTGAAATTTTTTGACAGAGCAGTTTTCTGCTGATAAATGCAGTTTCACTAACATTGAAATGCTTCTCCAGGGAGGGTATCAATTTTGGCAATTTTTTTCCATGAGAAAGAAAAAGAAGCATCTTGGCTTTGAGGGAAGATTTTATGAAGTTGAAATATTTTGTTTTGAATTTATCACTTTTATTAATGTTTAGGTTTTAAGTTTATGCTAAGGTTGGAAGTGTAGATATTCAGTAACATGTATTCACGTTTAGTACGGTACCTTATTGTTTCTACATAATCGTACTGAAATGGGTTTTGCTTTGCCAAAATGAAATGATTTAACTTTAAGCCAAATAGTAAGCTAATTCTAAATCTTGGAAGGCCTTAGAAATCTTGATTCCTGGGGAAAATATGTCATTTTAATTTAGAATGAAAACATTTTAAGCATTGAAATTTCCTATTAAAAAAATCAGGTTTCTCACTGGTTCTGTATTAAATGCAGACGTTTTTAATTTCTCCAGCTAATCTTTTAGTTCTTCATACCTCTGCAGCCTTCTGAAAAATAACTTCTATTGCTTGAGAGCTGCTCCCTAGAAAAGATTACTGGGATGAATATTTGCCTTCCTGAACTGTATGGTAGAGTTTGTACATCTTTCACAGCTAGCCGTATTTCTGACTGTCACAATGGTGATCACTTCATTTATATTAAAGCCTTATTATGAGTGTTGCTGCTGCCTTTGTAATATATTATAATCATAACACTGCCGTTGAGGTACAAATTAATTTTATGAATTAAAAGGTGTCAGACTAAGATCCTGACTCTCAAAGACTTAGACACTTGTTGCTGCTTTGGTTCCAAGTGGCTTACCCAAGATCACCCAAGAGGTTTATGACTGAGGAAGGAATTGCACCTTAATTTCCCTGACCGCTTTGTTGCAAGCTTCTAGCAGCAGCTGTGTTCTTGTTCCTGACTGCGGCCCATGATGAAAAATCCTGACTCATGTAATTGAAAGGGTTAAAAATCAAGGAGGCACACCACCACCAACAACAAAATGCCATGCCTTTGATTTAATAAAGAGATAATCCTCTTTCTATTAGCTACGATAATAATGACTCACCAGTAGTAAATGAAGGAATATACACAGAATGACATCATGTGAACAGCGCAGTGTCTGTGGGACTTAAAACGAAGAGGATTATTCCAATATATCAGCTCTGAGCCTAAAACTGGCAAGGATAGGTTTGGAGTAAAATTTAACATGAGAAATGTTTATTGAAGCACTAACATGAGAAAGGAATTATATAACTGAAGTTATTAAAAACAATAAGCTCCTATTTCAAAAGCTTTAATTTCAGTAGAATAATATACACGCAGACTGACACAGGCTGTAGTTGTATTGAGTCATTCCAATGACATCATGAACCACAAGAGGGGATGTGCCGTGGTTTATCGGTGTCTGCAAACCACACCCCGTCCCCTGGGTGGAATTACAGCCTCTGTCTTGCTCTGGAGACAGAATCTCATCTGGTTCGTAACATGGAGGGAATTGCCCTGAAATCAGCAGTAAGGAAGAGAAGTAAAAGCACCGATCACTCACAGCTTATTTCCAGGCCTCCTGCTTCTGAACAGGCCATCGATGTGCTGCATCACATTGAGGCAAGGGTTTCCAGCTCCTGGTTGTGGACCAGAGCTTACATAAAACAAATGATAAATTGTATCAAGCTGACTTTTTGGTCATGGGGTTTAATCTGTTTTTTGTTGTTGTTGTTGTTTTTAGCCAGAGACTTGCTTTAAACTGACATCATGTGGTCTGGTTTGTCCCTGAGCACCACAAAGATTTCCTCGCTCCCATAAAGCAGGAGCTGGGGAGTGGCTGAAAAAACTTTGTCGAACTTCAGGGCTGACCAAAATGGTCATTCTGCTGTGCTGGGAACAGAGAGGTTCCTGTCGAGAGCGATTCAGAGCAAAAGTCCTTGATGAAAATGCAGGTCAGATTTATAGGCTATACAGCTGCATACTGGAATCGTGTTTTTCTGTAGCTCTGGTGGCCCCCCCTGTGAAGGGAGCACAGCTATGGAGGCTGCACACCTGAACCTGGTCCCTGGTACCTTTGGCAGATTGAGAACTCCATGTATTGGTCAGAAAATGCAGATAGCATTGCTTGTGTGCTGTACGGATGGCAAGGCTGGATACCAGCGAAGTGTTACCAACGCTGAGCCTGGACTTAACAAGGACTTGGACTGAATCTGGACTTTTGTTATAACAAGGAAATGCAGTTTAGATCTAACAGGCCAAAGACTGCTTCTCTTTACTGATCTTAGATACTAAATCCTGAATATCTATTTCTGGTAAATTGGATTCCAGTGTTGTGCAAAAGAAGAATAACTCAGAGGTCAATGAGATTCACAGTGGTGCCACCGAGGGCAGACCCAGTGAGTCTTGCTGGCGCTGATGTCAACAGCAGTACTGCGAGAGGGGGAGGAATCCGCCCCGCTCCATTACTCAGAGGGTGCTGACAGAGTATCTTTTATGAGGAGTCTGAAATACTCTGGAATCTGCTTCCTACTCTAGTCCAAAGTAGTCCAGATCTGACTTTCCTGGCATGTTGCAAAAGACATCCTTTTGTCAGATATCTGGAGAAGTGAGAATATGCTTCTGTTCTTCTACCCTGTGAAGGCGGTGGATGAGACGCCGGGGAGCTGATGTCGAATATAATCATTTGGTCTCTGCTGAGACACCTGAGCAGACAGCTCCGTTATCTGAAAACTAAATAGAAAATACATACAGGTTTCATTAGGGAAGCTAGGAAATGGGATACAGTACCTATGGTTTGGGGGGTAGAAATAAGTGTTTATGCTTCCTTTGGATAGAAGGGATTTGTTATAAAAGGACTGTCTTGTGACTTCTGAAAGTCCTCCACAAGTATGCATTTCCCCTGTGCTGCTCTTCTTTCCCACCCACCTTCCCCTCTCATTGAATGATAAATGTGGAAGTCTTATTTATCATTCGGTAATCTGGTTTCTTGCTTTGGCTGTTGGTCCTTGACAATAACATCAATTTCTAAATCCCTGATTAAATTTACTCCACTCTACTGCTGCAGATTATTAGAAGGGCAGTCACTAGATGAAGCCACATCACTAAAAAGGTGAATAAATTTTGGAGCAGAGCTCTAAAACTTCTGAGCAGGGTCATTTTTCTAATTATAGGATGGTGAGGCTGAAGACTCCAAATGCCCAGGCAAAGGATGAAAAAAAGTATCCAACTGAATAAATAAATCTCTTAAAGAAAAAGATACTTGTCTGCCAAGAAACTTAATATGAGATGTTGAGAGTGCAGTTCTGAAAAAGATTTAATTGGAGATATACTCCTAAGAATATGTAAATAGTCTTTCCTTTCCTTAACTAAAAGGAGAAACAGATGCCAGCTCTAAGATCTGAGACCGAGTATGAAAAGTACTGAGGCCTCTAAATGTCATTTTAAACATATATAATTAGATTCTTATCTCGTTAAGAGGTTGTCCAGTGCTTTTTCAAGTGGAAGGTATGAACTCTTTAGATACACTTTACTGCAGACAATTTGATTGTCTACTTTAAATGTGGTAAAAATTAAACACAGTTTTTAAAATGTAATTTCAAATTCTAGGTGGCCTTAAGACAGTGTGGTGAGATGCCAGTTTTGACCAGCAAGCATTATGGCACTCACTAGTTTGGACCTATTGATTAGGAATCCAATATTTATTTAGTGTATGCAGACCCCAAGAGTAAAGAGTTCAGCAATGGCATGTGGACTTGACTATGACTTCAGTTATAAAACTGGATAGATTAATTTGAGTAAAATAAGTAAATGCATTTTAATTAACTTACTGGTACAGTAGTTGATGGAACCTTAATTCTTAAAGATGAAGGACATTTCCACAGGGCTTGGGATCAGTCAATAAAAAGCTGCATATATTTTTGCCCTTCTTAACTTTGGTAGGGACCATCAAGGAAAATGCTGAATCATAGAGCAGAAATTAATGTTCTCATTAAAGGCTCAGTTACTGCCTGACACTACAGTCTTTCATTTACATGAGGACATTAGATAATTCAACAAAAATTAGTGCACTGCACTATTCCTTCATCACCCACCAACAGACTAAGACTCAAGAGTTTGTTTGGGGCAACAGCTCTGGCTCCTGTTTTTTTCTGTAAGCCATGACATAAAACGATTGTGACATTTCTGATCCAGTAGGAATTTGTAAGTACCAGAAAATGCAAACAACTTTCACTCCACAAATCACAGGTTCAGGTAGGAGGCTCAGACTTGGGCTTACTTTGTTCAGTTTTGGTTACTGCAGTAAATCTGAAATTAAACCAAGGTCTCTAGCACTGAGTTTCCAATGATGCCAGGCTAGATTTATGGTTCTGGGAACAAACCATACAGTTTTGCAGAGATTGTGGTGTTGCCATAGAATCATACACCCAAAGAGTCTAGTCCTGTTCCTCTGCCTGCTCTGAAACCTCAAGCCTTTGGATGCTTGTCTGGCCTCTTCTTAGCGGCCAGTAATGGCGATTCTTCTCCAACGTTCGTACAAAAACATTTAGACAATGAAAATAGGATAAAATAGACCGGCTCCTTTGTTGGTATGCCCAGGTGTGGCTCAGTTGCAGTCAGTGTAATGTGGCTGTGGCCCCTGTGCAGTGAGACCCCATCTTGCATGAAACGTTTCCATCCCACTGATTAAAAAAAATCAGTGAACCAGTGTGTAAAAAATGATGGGGAAATGATGGAAATGAGTCCCTTTCTCTGATCTTGGGGAAAATCTTGGTATAAAGCTTAGAAAAAAACAGTAAATTCTATGTTTTCCAAATAAATGTCCTACTGTTATGAAATTGTAACAAAATGTAAAATTTCCCAAAGCTGAAGTTTTCTAAGCATTCTCAGCAGAAGTTCAGCACAGTTCTAGGAAGACATTTTTTGCTGTTTTTCTTCAAACCCTCCTTCTGCTGGATGTGCTGCTCAGCTCTGCTTCAAAGCTGCTTTAAAAAGGCCAGGACAGAAATGGCAAGAGGATGCCATTGCCCACAACCCAACCAGAAACCTGTCTTCTGTACGTTCTGAGCAGCCTCGAACAGACAATCAGGGAGGCGTAAGGATGCCTGCTTCTGTTGGGTTTTTCTGTGTGGCCTTCCGTGTTGTCCCCAAATTCAGACTGCAGCCGGACTGAAAGCGCTGCTGCTTCTGCTCACTGTCATCTGTACTAAACTTCCATCAATCCACCCCATAATCCCAGTGTGCTGCTCCACTGCTGTACTGTGCTTTATGGAATCAACAAACGTTCTGCCTGGCCAGGAGAATATCTGGGGGGGTTCCTACTTTTGTGGGGACGGTAGCACAGAACCTTGTGTGGGCTCTGCTGGGGCAGTGCAGACGGGTCGGCACCTCAGCGCGAGCTGGAAGCATCACCTCTGCCTCTGCTGTCTGCCTCAGCTCAGATCTCCCACACGGTCCTGGAATGTGCCTCTTGTCTGCTACCCGGCTGGCTGGGGAAGTTTTGAAAAGGTTTAATTTAGCTCTCATTTGAGTCCCTCCTCGCTGCCAAAAAATCTGAACTTTGGTTCCAAGCAGAGCTTAGGAATCCTGTTTCCCAAGAGAAAAGAGGAGGGGAGGACAGAGGAGAAAAAGTTGGGCATTTTAAAGGAAAGACAAAGAGATGATACCAGAT